CTAAATTCTGACTTCCTTAAATGTGTGGCTTTATTGCCCCCAAACAGCCGTGTACCTCGCCAGGTGGGCCTGAGAAACTCCAGCACGAGACCGGGCGCACAGTAGGGGTGCAGCCCAAACTTACTGACAGCTCCGTTTCCTTTGGCCCCTTATTCCTCAGAGGGTGCAGAGCCTAAGCAGTGGGAAAGGGACCCAAGGAACCCCCCGCCGGGGCCTGGGCTGCAAGTGGCTTCCCCTGCCATCAACCCACCTTCTTTATTCTAAATTTATAAGGAAACCACCTCAGCCGCTCCTTTCAGCTCTGAAGATGACGCCAGGGCCGGGGCCACTCTTGCTGTTATAATTAGCAGACCTAATTGCATCTGACAAGCTGGGTGTGGGGCAAAGCCCCCACGAGCTGCAGGATGGGGCTGCAGGGACACCGCAGGAACCATGCCCTCCTCCTCCCTGGACACCTGCCTGGCTTGGGCAGGGCTGGTTGTCGGACGTGAGTGGGTGCTGGAACTACCCGAAGGGCCCGTTACAACACAGGTGCTGGGCCCCAGCCCTGGGTTTGCACCTGTGAGTCCTGCAGCATCCAGCATGTTCCTTGCACATAGTAGGTGCTCTATAAACATGGCAGGGTGGAAAGAACTTGGGCTTTCCAGGTGGAAGCAGAAAGAACAGGCTGTATCTCAACCCAGCTGTGCCTTTTCTAGTCGTGTGGCTAGAAAATTGCTTTTTGTCTCTTGCTTGGTTAACCCATCTGTAAAACAGGGATAACACCAGTTAGGTTATAGGGGATCACTGTGCACCCAGCACTCCTAGTGAGGGCTTGATAAATGGAAGCATATCTCTATTAGACAACTCTTAGTGGCATTCATTGGATCAAGCTCTGATTAGGGTGCTGGGGGGCTCTGGGGGATGCAGGAGTGACAGACCCTAGGGAACAGAGAGGCCATCTAGGTTTCTCCCCCAGAGTCTGAGGCTTCTGCGCAGAATAAGGGTCTGAGAAAACCATTGGTCTAGGCCAACCAGCTGCAGCCCTCTGCCCCAGCCCCTGCTGCCTCGTGACCCTGGCTCTTTGCCAGGCTAAGTTTAGCTGTGACCTGCATAGGCCACCACACTCTGTGGGCAGGGGCCGGGGGTGAAGAGGAACTCAGCAGGTTTCCTGCCAGCTTCCTGGCAAGCGGACAGACAAAAGCCCTCAGAGTGACCCAAGTTAATTTTTAAGCCCAACCCATCTGGATGTCCCGGGCCATGTATTGGGGCAGCCTCACAGGGGTAAGAGCCTTGGACCAAGGCAGAAGTGGACAATTTTGAAATTGGGAAAAGGGGCCCTTTGGGAAGGGGTTGTGTGTGTGTGTGTGTGTGTGTGTGTGTGTGTGTACATGCATGTGTATTCCATGGTTTGGGGAGAGCCTCCCAGATACCTGTCTGTCCTGTGGTCTCCAGTTAAAGTCACACCACTCTGGTTCCTTCTCATTGTTCTAGCCCCCTGGCCCCCAGGGCAGTATTCCCTGTGGCTTGATTTGGGCAGGGGAAGTAGAGGTTCCAACTTGGCCCCCTCTGGTGAGCACTGAGTAGCCACAGTCTATTTCCCATCCCTTAGGTTGCCATAGGCAGAGCCGGCCTGTCCAGACCTTAAAAGGAGCAAAAAGACAACTGGGATCTCATCTGATCCCTGGGAGCGAGTTGATGGTTTAAGTAAGGAGTGAGTCAGAACTCCACCTCCAGGAGGATCCAAGGCTCCAAAGACTTCTCCCCTTTGCTGGGGGGCAGGGTGGGCAGAGTGGCATGCCAAGGGACAGCTACGTTAGAGGGAGCGTTTTGTGCTTTCAAAGCACTTTTGAGCGTGCTTTCCTCCGCACCCCTAGGACTTGGCAGGGCTGGTGTGCTTAGCAGGTGAGAAAACAGAGGCCTGTGGAGGCCTAGAGGGAAGGAGCGAATATTGAAGGGCATCTACTCTGTACCAGGCACTGTGCCAAGCACCTGAAATGGATTATGTCCCGTAACTCAGCCTTCTAGGGAGGAGGGTCTGCTGTTAGAAGCTGGGCCTCTTGGCAAGGAGTAGAGTCACGTTCAGACCCAGGCCTGTCTGCTTCTAGAGCCCAGGCTCCTCCCACTTTGTCAGCCCATCTCCCTCGTGCTCCGGTAACCCTACTCCTGTCAGTGTTATTGTGGGCTGCTTGCATCCTGCCAGAGTACCTTGTAGGGGCATCTGCATCGCCCCTCAAGAACCCCTATGGGCAGGGTCACTGTGTTTCCCCCATCCCATCACAGATACCCTTTCATGAGAAATCTCACTTGGGGGCAGACATTTTGCTAAGGACTTTATTATATGCATGATCTCGTTCAAGCTTTACAACATCAGGTATGATTATGCCCATTTCACAAATGAAGAGACTTAAGGTCTAAGAAGTTGAGCGATTTGTCCAAGGACGCATAGCTAGTACGTGCCCATGTTGGCTTCTAGCCCCATCTTGTCTGCTCCAGAATCCATTCTCTTAACCCCTTGCATACAGAGTCGATGGCTCCAGTTGGTTTGGAGCTTTGAATGTTGCCTGTCCCAGTACAAGGAGGCCATTATAGTCCTTGAACAAGGCATGAGGATGCCCACAGGTAGCCCCGTGGAAGCTGTTGGGGAGAGAGAAGGAAAACTTCCCGGTCTTAAGGCTTGACGATGGCGTCACTCCCCACTTGCTGGCCTCCTACCCTGAGTTGGCATGGAGACTGGTCACGAGCTGCCCAGGACTATACTGACCTGTCGGGGTCTGCTGGGCCCAAAGGGGGCTGCCTATAGTACAGGGGCCTTCAAGGGCCTCAGAACCTCCAAATTCTCTCCCAGCTGGTTGCTGCCTGGTGCTGTGCTTCTTAGCACTGCACGCCTTGATCCTAAAACCCTGATCCATGTCAAGAAGCCAGTTTCACAGGTTTGCCTCGGACCACCCTGGCAAAACTTTCCATTGAGGTTTCCGTCATGTGGAAACCAGGGCTGACCTGCTGCTCCTTGTCTTAGGGAAGAAAAGCTGGCTAGCTTCCCCCTGGACTTCTTCTTCACCCCACACCCCTTCCGGCCTGACTTCCTGCACTTTCTCCTGGCCTCTGTCTCCTCCTCAAGTTCACCCTGAGGCCTGAATGTGTGTGCACACTGAACTCGGCTGCCGGCGGACCCCGCTTTCAGTTCCTGCTTGCGTGTCCAGCTGTGTATGGGATGAAATCACATCTGAGCAGCAGGCTTTACCCACGTGTGGCAACTCAGGTCACGTACATCCTGGCCCTGCTGGCTAGAACCTGCAGACGTGTCTTTACCTGATGCCACGTCCCTGTTCCTTGGCACCATTAGGGTAAGAACCAGAATAAGTGGTTTTAACGGTGTAAATTCAAGGATAGGGAATGGGGCTCAAGGAAAGTGGAGAAGCTCCTGTCAGCATGCACTGGCATACAGGGGGCCAGGGGGGCCCGGGGGGCCCTCTGTGTTCTCTGTTGTCCAGCAACGTCATCTGGCCATTTGCTCTCGTCTAAAAGTCCCAGGCAGAAAGGGGGCGGGGCAAGCATGGGAAACGCCCGTTGTTACTCCCCAAAGTTCCTGCCTGGGAACGGTGAGGGTGTAATGTAAGGCTTACCCTGTAAGACTGTGCTTTCCAGACTTTAATGTGGATGGTATTAAAATGCAGATTATGGTTCAATAGGTCTGGGGTAGGGCCGAGGTTCTGTGTATCTTAACTCCCAGGATTGTAAGGGGTTAGCCCTTCCCTAAAAATCACTTGAGATCTAAAAAATCCATTTGTCCTGGAGGAATGGAGTGTCTCCCTTCACAATTAAGAACTCAGATTTTAAGTTTAGACGACTCAGGAGAGGCAATCCAATGACTCAGTCACTCTGGTTGTCTCCAAGATTGCCCTAGGGAGAGACCCAGGAGAAGGCCAGGAGGTCAGTGTCTGAATTTGGGCTGAGGTCTTACAGATCAGAAGTAGAGGTTTGCAGTAGGAGAACACAAGGGCCCAAAACTGCTTCAAAAACACTTGCTGTTCAGTGAACCTATGCTCTGCACCACCCACTATGCCATGTACACCATCTGCGTGGGTCGCCGCATCCCTCGGTACTGTGACCCTGTGGGTCCTATGGCCTTCCTCTCGTCCAATAAGGAAACTGGGCCTCAGAGAGGTGTGTTAACATGCTCAAGGGCACACAGCTAATCAATGACAGGGCTGGCCTTGGAACTCAGCCTTCTTGTTCTTAACCACTAGGCCTTACTGCCTTGAGGAAAGTCACATTCGCCACAAGGCATTCGCTGGGGAGAGGTGGGTTGAAGTATAGGAAAATGACTCAAACCGACTTAAAGTGAAGATATTATTGACTTACATGACTTTAAAAGTCCGGAGGAAATGGCTTCAGGCATAGCTGGGTCCAGGGAATCTGCTTTTGTCTCCGTTGGCATCTTTCTCAAGCAGATCCCCCCTTTGAGGTCTAGAGAGCTCCCCCTCCCCCCGCAGCTGCGATTCTGTTCCCTGGCAAACCTAGTCTTTCTCCCCATGGTCCCCAGCAAATCCCACCTCTGTGTCCTTCCCATTGGCCGGAGGGAGGTCCTATGCTCCTCACTGAATCCACAGTGTGGGGTTGGGGGTGGGGAATAGCTCGGGCCGGGTTATATGTTCACCACTGGAGCTGGGGGTGGGGTTATCCCCACCCAAGCCATAGGTCAGGGGCCAGAAAAGGGTTGGCTTCTGGGGAAAGTGGGTTGCCGCTTCCAGAAGGAGGAAAGCCTGGGCAGACAGAAACAGGACAGCCTCCAGGAGTTGCTCAGCCAGGATTGCTCGTGTGCAGGGACTTTGCAGTTCTTTCTTCCAGGGCTACACGGAGGCACGGGCTGGGGGGAGACTGCGGGCTGGGCGGGAGAACTGTGAGACCTTCTGCTCGGTGGGACAGGGGTCGGTGAGAGGGTCCGGGGAGGAAGTGGCCTGGAGGGAAGCTGGGTGTGACCTTTGGTCTGTCTCTCTGTATGGCAGGCACGTTCCAGCCATGGCTCTGGGGCTCTTCCGGGTGTGTCTGGTGGTGGTGACGGCCATCATCAACCACCCGCTGCTGTTCCCGCGGGAGAACGCCACGGTCCCCGAGAGCGAGGAGGAGATCATCCGCAAGATGCAGGCGCACCAGGAGAAGCTGCAGCTGGAGCAGCTCCGCCTGGAGGAGGAGGTGGCCCGGCTGGCGGCCGAGAGGGAGGCCCTGGAGCGGGTGGCCGACGAAGGCCAGCAGCAGAACGAGACCCGCACGGCCTGGGACCTGTGGAGCACCCTCTGCATGATCCTCTTCCTGGTGATCGAAGTGTGGCGGCAGGACCACCAGGACGGGCCTTCGGCGGACTGCCTGGGAGGGGACGAGGACGAGCTGCCCGGCCTGGAGGGCGCCCCGCTCCGGGGCCTCACCCTGCCCAACAAGGCGACGCTCGAGCACTTCTATGAGCGCTGCATCCGCGGCGCCACGGCCGACGCGGCCCGCACCCGGGAGCTCGTGGAAGGCTTCGTGGATGACTTGCTGGAGGCCCTGAGGAGCCTGTGCAGCCGGGACGCGGACGTGGAGGTGGAGGACTTCATTGGCGTGGACAGCATGTATGAGAACTGGCAGGTGGACAGGCCGCTGCTGTGCGACCTCTTCGTGCCCTTCGTGCCGCCCGAGCCCTACCACTTCCGCCCAGAGCTCTGCTGCTCCCGCCGCTCCGTGCCCTTGGACCGCCAGGGCTACGGCCAGGTCAGGGTGGTCCGGGCCGAGGAGGACGCGCTGGGCTGCGTGTGCGGCAAGAGCCCGCTGGGGGAGGACATGCTGTGTCTCCTCCACGGCAGCCACAGCGCGGGGCGGCCCGGCCGTGGGCTGGAGGCCCTGCTGTGCGCCGGAGACCCCCCGTACCTGGACACGGCGCGGGTCATGAAGTGGTTCCAGACGGCCCTCACCAGAGCCTGGCACCGCATTGCCCACAAATACGAGTTCGACCTGGCCTTCGGTCAGCTGGACTCCCCGGGCTCCCTCAAGATCAAGTTCCGCTCGGGGAAGTTCATGCCCTTCAACCTGATTCCCGTGATCCAGTGTGACGACTCGGACCTGTACTTTGTGTCCCACCTGCCCAGAGAGCCCTGCGGGGAAACCCCGGCCTCCAGCACCGACTGGCTCCTGTCCTTTGCCGTCTATGAGCGACACTTCCTCCGGATGACCTCGAAGGCGCTGCCCGAGGGGGCCTGTCACCTCAGCTGCTTGCAGATCGCCTCCTTCCTACTGTGCAAGCAGAGCCGCCTGACCGGCCCCAGCGGCCTGGGCAACTACCACGTGAAGACCGCCCTGCTGCACCTGCTGCTGTCCCGGCGGCCGGCCGACTGGCAGGCGGGGCAGCTGGACGCCCGGCTGCGCGAGTTGCTCCGCTTCCTGGAGAAGAGCCTGCTAGAGAAGAAACTCCCTCACTTCTTCATCGGCAACCGCAGGGTGCCCGAGGGCATGGGACTCCCTGAGGCCGTGCGCAGGGCCGAGCCTCTCAACCTCTTCCGGCCCTTCGTCCTGCGGCGAAGTCTCTACCGGAAGACAGTGGACTCCTTCTACGAGATGCTCAAGAACGCCCCGGTGCTCATTCGCGAGTATTCCCTGCATATCCCCTCAGACCAGGCCAGCCCGCCCCACAAAGCTGTTGTCTTGTAGAGCGTCCAGGACCCAGGGGGCCAGGACGCGGGGCACCCCACACGTCCACGCCTCTGGGGGCATCTGCAGGCCCCTGCCCGGGAGAGCGGCGGGCGCTGTGCGGCATCCGGGCTCAGCCCACCAGGGAAGCCTGACCCTATGGCCCGCGGAGGAAACAGAATTCCAAGCTGGAAAAGCTGATTTGCGTTCTCACCACCGGGGCCCTACTGGTGAGATTATTGTCTGGGTTTGGTTGATCCTTTGCCGCTTACTTTTGGATCACCACAAATGGCCCAGATGATGACAAATCCTCTCTGGACGCGGAGCGAAAGACAACGCAAACATCTATGCGGGTGTAATTTTTACATCCCAGGTCCAGGCTTTACTTAAATATCAACAGAGGATCTACAGGAATGCTGACAGAGATGCATGTTAAGACCCTGCAGCCTGTTTCCAGTAATCCTTGGCCCCAGGCAGAGGCGGCCAAGGCACCAACAGGGACAGTTGTGGGAATTTGCAACCTTCCATCCACAGCCTGCACAGTAGGGGTCCTTTTAAACTATTTGTAGAAAAGACCTAGAAGAGATTCAGGGCCCCAAGGGGCCAATGTCTGTTGCACAGAAGTGGGTACTTGGTGGCAGAGGGAAGTTTCAGTCAGCCACTTTTTCAGCTCCGTGTCTCACTCAGGGTGCACCCCCTTCTCCCACCCCTTACCCCAGTGTGCTGTGCCCTGAGCCCCGTAGGTGCCAATATACCATGCTGGGGACAAGCTCCATAGCTGGTCTCTGACCATCCGTGTGGTGGGGGAGGGCGGATACCAGAGGTGGAAGCTGCAAGAGACACAGGGTGACTGGGGCAAAGGGTAGAACCTGTCCCCAGGGCGCTGATGCCCAGTTCAGAGAAGATGGCAGAGCTGAGGAGGGAGGGAGGGATGCCACAGCCCTGAGTTTTCCTCAGCAGAGTCGCAGTCCTAGAACCAAGCATGCCTGGAGGCAAGAGGAGAACCAGCTCCATCTGTTGGCCCCAAGACCCATTCACTGCAGTGGGGCGCCCTCAATGCACAGAACCCCCCTTTCTGGATGGGCTTTGCCAGCCACACAGATGACCAACACCCGAAGAGGCTCGGCTCACTGGAAACATGCAGGATAACTCTGCCGACCCAGCCCCCAAGCCCCAGAGAGGTCACCCCGGTACTGCTGGGGGCTGTGGTCACTGGGCAGGCGCCAGAGCCTGCGGTGGGAACTGGCCCGTCTCCAGGCCTGGGTAGGGGGTTGGGAAGCCACTCCTCCTCCACTTCTGGCTTCACTGGCCCTTTGGGAGTTTCTCCCATGGTACTGCCTCAGTAACCCTTGCAGCAAGCCAAGGGGGGAGGCAAGAAGGAGCGCACCTGAACCAGCACCTGAGTTCCCCTCCAGGATTTAAGCTGGCCAGGCCTGCCGAACAGCATTCCCCATTCTCTGGGGGTGTCGGGCTCACCACGAGCTGCGGAGGATTCTGTCCCTCACCCAGGGGTGCTCTCACCTGGCCCCAGTGGTTCCGGAAGATGGATGGTTTGCCTGGCAGGGTTCACTTGCGGCAGGAGGCTCGGCTGTGATGGGGCTCTGAGGCCTGTAGGAACCCTTCCGTGTAAGCTGGAGTCGGACCACGCAGACTTGGGTCTGGTCTCCCCAGCGCCGTAGCGGTCAGCGTGCTGCCAGGAAGGGTGGTCATGCCCGCGTGGCCCCCAGCAGTAGCCCCAAGCCCCCATTCAGTTGTGATTTGTTTCCAGAATCGGGGTGAATTCCCATATTTATTATTACCCATGCCTTGCCTTCCCCCCACCACCCCATCCTTAACTTGTTGTGCTTGGAGGAGACCCCACAGCCGGGAACCAGGCTCCAGAAGCCAAGACCAAGCCTGAACCTCCCTCAGCCTCCCCTTGGCTTCCAAAAAAGTTCACTGAAAAATGACCTTCTGGCCTCTTGTTTATCCAGAGAAGACCACTCAGCGGGGCAGTGGGGATCTTCTATGCACCAAAGCTGCTTCTGAAGCAGAAAACAGCCGAGCTCTCGGTGTTTCATGCTGCCTTATTTATATGAAAGGAAGAATTAAATTCTTGCAAGGAGTAGAAACTGGTGTTTGTTTTACCTTCAGGAAGTCTGAGGTTCCCTGGGCCCAGTTGGGGAGCAGGGAGGGTTTTCTGTTGACCAGCGGAAGCTTTCACTCCCTTTTGATTCTTATGCTTTCAGGAAACTTGTTAAAAAAAATCACAAAATACAGTCTTTCTAGCCCATCTTTGAAGCAGCCTACAGAGTTCCAGAAGGGGAATATGGGGGATGTCAGCCCAAGATCTTCTTTCCCCGAGCTCGATGCGCAGACAAGCGTGGGGGCTGCGAGGAGCACGAAGCTTTGGGGTTTGAGGAAAGAGACTGTCTTTTCAATGGAGGGTTTAGTCCATCAGGGCATTTGGCAGGCCTTTCCACTCAGGACAGCCAGGCCTCTTTCTCTGAGGAAGCTCTCTCCTTTCCCAAGCAGGCTTGACCCCACCGGGCATCTGCTCGCTGGTTGGATAAGATGCTCCAGAACCACATTTTGCCGCACGTCTTGGTCTGGACAGCACTGAAAGAAGGATGGTTGGCCCGAGGCCAGGGTGTCTATTAGGTTGGGAAGGGCCATGAGAAAGAGGGGGACACACTGCTGGCTGGTCCGAATGGAGGAGCCCCGTTAGAGCCTGCTTCTCCGGCGGGGGTCCCGTGTCACCCGGGTGCGGGTTTCTGGGACACGCTGCAGACTTAAGTGGAGTCGCTAGGAGTCCAGGCCAGAAATCTGCATTTTGCCAAGTTCCCCAGGTGATTCTGAAAGCCCAAGAGCCACCGCTACCTGGGGGGATTAGGCACTGCCTGAAAGATGGGTGAGCCTGAGCCGGGAAGTGTTCCAGCCGGAACCGTGGAGTGAGGGGGGGAGCATGATAGACGAGGCAACAGTGAGGCAGCACCTACTTTATGCCAGTCACCCTTCTAGGTGCATTTATGTCCATTAACTCATTTAATTCCCATGTCAACCCTATGATATGGGTGCTGTTAACAACCTCCCTACTTTCTGGAGGAGGACACTGAGGCACAGAAGGATAAGTTGCAAAGCCAGAATTTGAACCCAAGCAGGGCTGGTATCTATGCTGATAGATACTGAGAAGTTTTAGCAAATGAGTTTGAAAATGTGGGAGCTGATCTCAGAAAAGCCTTTAAGGCTGAGCCAAGGTAAATTTGAACATCATACAATAAGCAGTGGTGAGCCATTGCTGATTGGTGAGTGAGAAAGTAAGCTGATTTGCCCCTAACCATGAAGTCCCTGACTATGTGGTCAGTGCTGCGGGGGTTTATGGCCAGCTTCCAGGGTGGCTGGGGTCAGTGAATGTCCCGGAAGTTCTAACTTAAGTCACCCCGTAAGCTGATTCAGAACATCTTCATGCTCCATGCGGTCTCCACCTCATGGGACAGAGATGGAAGGTGGTTTGGTTTGGCCAGCAGACCGGGAACAGAGAGTGCCAATAACCACTTGACTTGTCCCCACCCCACTTCACCCTCCTCTGCTTTGCCCCTGGACCCCCCGCCCTGGGAAGGGCATCTTTTAGAGTTAACTTTTCTCATTGCCATCCAAAAATAGCTTGTTTTTCTAACTAGTTGCTTTTTTTTTTAATTTTATAAAAACAATACAGTCATAAAAAAATTCACTGACAGAAAAATTAAGTAACAGATAAACGCATCCACCCCTTACTTCTCCATCCATTCCCCAGCCGTAACCATTAGGAAGTTTCTGGTGTATCCTTCCAAAATTTTTCTATGTATGTATCACATGTGTGCATGCATCCCTTTTCCTTTTTACCCAGATTGCATCATACCATCTAACTTTTCTGGGATATCAACTTTGAACATTTGGTTCTACCCTATTTTTCAAAATAGTTGCTTCCTTACTATCTCCCAGTACGGATAGATGTACCCTAATTTACCCAGCCTCTCCTACTGAGGGACACTTAAGTGTCTCCACTTTATTTGCTATTATAAACAACACGGCAGTGAACATCTCCGTGCATAAAGTCGTCTTTGAAGTGATCCTCCCTTCTGGTAATTGCTATGATAATGTACTCACCAACTTGGTATATATGGATTCACCACCAGTATCTTACCATAAAAGTAAACTGTTGCCTGGATTTTATTCCATCATGACTCCAGAGTGAGGAAAAGGCATTTTTAAGCCAAGTACTGAGCAATACAGTGTGTGTTCTACCCTGGATCAGGCGCTATGTGGGGAATAGAAGTATATGACGAAGGCTCTGCCCCACGGACGTGGGTCTATGAGGAAGACAAAACTGATGGCCAAAAAATAAGCCAGAGAACAGTAAAGAGCGTTAAGTAATTGAAAGTGAAATGATGTGGCTCTAAGGCCTGCATGGCAAGAGGGAATTCGAGAACTCCCAGATCAGCTTTGGGTTTGGGATTTTCAGCTCCCGTATACACAGGAAAATGTGAAGAGCCTCCCCAAAGAAAATCAACTCAACATGATTGTTTTCCTGTCCCCAAATGGGTGTGTTCTGTTCCTTTGGCCCCAGGGCTGGTTTATTTCTTCCTGCACAATGTGGGCCCCTGCTTTCCTGGTGTAAGTGGCATTTTCTCTTCCTTTGATGTTCCTCTGCAGCCCCACAAAGAAACCAGAAAATAAAGCTTTCAACAACAAACTCTCTTCCAGCAAGATGTAACCACATAAACCTCAGAGATGTTCAAAGACATTTCTTTTTCTTGCTGGGAAAAGGTAGGTCTTTAAAAGTGCCGGGTGAGATTTGCAGGACAGGGGTGGGGTAAGAGGTTGGGAAGAATTTGGTTGCATCTGTTTCTTTAAAACCCACTGATCAGTGATCTTCTAGGTCTCTCTTAAGGTAACTTTATTTAAAATAGAAACAAAGCAAAGACCCACTTCCCGCCATTTCTCACAAGCCACCCTTGGGCCTGTCTTCTCACCTGACCAGAGATGACTCACACAGCCCCCAGGGCCTCACTGTTCACTTATTTCCAGAGGGTAGACTGGACTGTGTTGGACCAAATGTCTCTTGGGACAGTGGTTGGACCTCCAGTGGCTGATAGTTGTCTTGGGTCTCCTCCAAAAAGCATGGCTAGTACTGAATCAGCCCCAAGATACCAGCCAAG